GTTTCTGAGCGTGAAGAAGTGGCTGCTGCGTAAGAAGCACCAGATTGAGCTGGCGAGGAAGCGCGGCTGGAAGGGCTACTGGGTATGTCTGAAGGGCACGACGCTCCTGTTCTACCCGTGCGACTCGCGCGAGGGCCGCTCCGTGGAGGCGGCGCCCAAGCATCTCATCATCGTGGACGGCGCCATCATGCAACCCATCCCCGAGCACCCGAAGAGGGACTACATCTTCTGTCTTTCCACGGCGTTCGGAGACGCTTATCTCTTCCAGGTGAGAGTTGTTCTCTCCTTGTTCTCTCGAGATTTTTCTTGTTATTGTGTCTTTTCAGGTGGGAGTTTTATTTCCGGGTTATGGCGGACGAGTGGGGAGTAGTCCGGCGGGGAGACCGATGTTTTGTGCCTTGCTCTGCGTTGTGTTAATGTACTGGGGAAGGAATGCGCTGCACTCGCTCGCGTGCACATTTTCTCTTAGGCGGACATCCTTTTTACTGGAAGCTTAAATTGCAATTGCACCTGCTGATGTGAGGGATAATTGGCAAACCAAATCCCTGTAACTGACATGAAGACTATTGCATATCGCCGTAATTAGTAATCAGCATTATGTGATGTAATTCCTGATGTCCAGTAGACAAAAAAATCTGATAAATAATTACTTAAATTCCTTATCATTTAAAATAAAAATATTACTCACTCTGCTAATTAAAGTAATAGTAATTTTGACAACCACAAAAAATGTAGTCGATAGAAATACTTGTGCATTATAGAGCACAAGAATATGTTTTTGACAAAATATTGCTTATGTATAGAAAAGAGAGATAGACAAAGGTCATAATTTCGCCTCGCATTGTGGCGCACGAGCGCGGCAAAGGCCTCTCGATAAGGGAGCATGACTATATCACAGATTTCCCGGCGCTGAGAGAATCCCTACCAACCAGGCCACTTTACATCGACGCACTGAGGAAATATTGACCAAATAGCAGGAAGAGGAGCGTCGCTTTGGCCAGGGTGGGCGTGGAGGCCATACGGGCATCACGGGTAAAGTGAGCGCTGTGAGGCGTGTGAGGGTGTGTGCGTGTGTGTGTTGCGAGGTGCACGGGGTCGGCCATTTAAGAATCAACAATAAACAATAGGACGGTCTTGGGGTACGGGTGAATAAGAGGGGGGGGGGAGAGGAGAGAGAGAGAGAGAGAGAGAGAATCGATAGGAGCAACACAGTGGGATGGGTAGAGGTGATGAAGAAGGTGGTCAGACGAGAATCGGTGATAATAATGGTGGGGGGGGGGGCGTTCGCTGACCCGAGGTACGGGATTGAGATGGAGGCGACCGGTTTAGAATCCATGATAACAACGGGGCGCCTTGTTTTGTTGTGTGTGTGTGTGTGTAAAATAGAGAGAGAGAGAGAGAGAGAGAGAGAGAGAGAGAGAGAGAGAGAGAGAGAGAGAGAGAGAGAGAGAGAGAGAGAGGGGGGGGTGGAAAGAAAGGGGGAATAGAGAGAAGAGGGGAGAAAGAGAAGGAAGGGAGGAAGAAGGAAGAGGAGGGACAGGGGAGTGAGGGAGGGAGAGAGAGAGACATAGACAGAGACAGAGACATACAGACAGATAGAGATAGAAAGAGAGAGAGAGAGAGTGAAGGGGGAGAGGGGGAGGGAGGGAAGGTGGAGAGGAGAGAGAGAGAGTGACGGGAAGAGAGAGAGAGTGAGGGGGAGAGAGTGAGAGTGAGGGAGAGAGAGAGAGAGAGAGTGAGGGTTAGAAAGAGAGAGAGAGAGTGAGTGAGAGAGGGGAGAGAGAGAGAGAGAGTGAGACAGTCAGAGATAGAGGCAGAGAAAAAAATATAAACAGACAGATAGACAGAGAGCCAGAAGAGAACACCTGTATCTATCTGTGGCTAGGATTCAATAATAACGGCGTCTTTCTAGGTTCGGGGTCGAGGCCAAGGGGAAGGGAGGGGAGCGGGAAGGGGTGAGGGTAAGGGGAAGGGAGGGGGGGGAAGGGGGTGAGGGCAAGGGGAAGGGAGGGGGGCGGAAGGGGGTGAGGGCAAGGGGAAGGAGGGGGGTGAGGGCGAGGGCAATTGAATAACAATCGCTCAATCTTGAGGCAGGAAGTCAAGGGGAATAAGCCGTACATGGATTGATGGAGGACTTATTATGCCATCTCGAAATAATTGGCGCTCGCTCATATCAGCTGGATAAATGGAGGCGACGCTGTTTGTCGTGATGCGTCACTGGTGAAGGTAGGATTCCCCCGGTGGAGGGGGGGGGAGAGGGTCACTTGTCTCTCCGATGCACTAGACTAAGTCACGCTCGCCTGCGAACCTGCACGCACGCCCACACACATCCACACACGCACACACACACACGCACACGCACACGCACACGCACACACACACACACACACACACACACACACACACACACACACACACACACACACACACACACACACACACACACACACACACACACACACACGCACACACCACACACACAGTACGGGAGCGGGTTCGG